CCCAGGTCACTGTGATCGCAATATTAAAGCTTGGTAGCCTGAAGCTGGTGTTGGCTGCCACGTGTCCCGTTCAATGGCAGGGCTTACTGGATGTTGCTGAGGTGCGTGGGTTTCTCCCAGTGGTGCTCAGCAGTGCTGCAACACAGCAGGAAAGGTTTACTTGCCTTGCTGCTTGTTAATGCTAGAAACTGATAATCTTGTTCTTGTTGAGAATAAGCTACCCGTTGTCGGAGACTAGGGGATATTTTGTGCCCCCATCCGTAATGAATCTCTCTTCTACCTTTACATGTTACAGAAAATCTTTCAGAAGCTGTCCTGCAGTTCTGAAAAGGTGTGATTTTTGACTTTGCCTGTTCCTGGTGGGTAAAATTGCAGAGTGGAACATGTGTGGGATTTTTTTCCTTTTTTTTCTTTCTGAAAGGTTGTTTTCTCCTGGATCCCCCCGTAGGTGCTTTGTTATGGTTAAATATAATATGTTGATGGGGATCAGTTTAGCTGCGTTTTAGACTTTCTTTCTCACCATCCCAGATAGCAAGCTCCTAGAATATGTATCTATGTATGTGCATACACATATGTTTGGCAACAAGGCAGTTTGTGTTCTTTGGGTGAGGGTTTTCAGAGAGGACTGGAACTTTTATCTGTGATCAGTACAGTGGAGGAGCTTCAGTCTATCAGGCCTTGCTCTTGTCGTTAGTACTGAAAAATAGTTTGAATACTGCCAGTGCTGCTCTGTGGATTAGTGGAAAGATGGAAGTTTTAGTGTTAAGTTTCCATTCTTACATTCATTAACCAAACGTAATCTCCACAGGGATTGCAGAGCAAAGTCAGTACTGTACCTGGTCCTCATGTTTCTTTTGTGCCAGCTTTATGAGTCTTGCTCTGGCATTTTCTTCCTGAGTGTTAATGCAATGTGTCTTCTGTCCTCACAGCAAAAAAAAAACGTGCAGACACCATTCTGCATGTCTCTCACTTTCCCTTTCTTACCCCAGTGAAGGCAAGAAAGCCACTGCCAAGCTTTGCCCCAGGTAGCTGGGAATGGGCTATTTACTGTGTTTCCCACTATACTCTATCCATGGGGATACATCCTTGGGGATGTAGCAGGAGTATAACTACTCCTGAGTGTGCATGTGTTGGGTGGTGTTCTGCTGTAGATTTCCTCACTAGGTGTTTCCGTTTGAGGAACGGAAGTGTTGCAGATGATGTTGCCTAGTTTTGACTATAGCAAAATTCAGTTTTGTGTTCTTGTTTTAGGAATAAGAGGGAATGGGCTGTATACTTTGTTTTTCAGTAAGCATTCAGCTTTTTTTTTTTGTTAGGAAAAAGAATGACTCAAGTGTTAAAAGCTTCGCTGAAGATCTGAAGGTCTTGCTTGGCTTACCACTGTTTTTGATCCTGGCCAACTTGTAGAAATGGGTCGACTCTGGAATTTGTTTGAGGACTTTGTGTAGCTTTTAACAAAGGGAAGAAAAAAAGCTGTGTAAGAATGCTTTATGTTAAAACCTGACTCCTTAGAAATCAGGGCAAAATGAATGAACTGTAATTAAAAACTGGATGTCTGCATTTAACGTTTAAAACCTAGAGGAATTACAGTAATCAATCAGGCTATATTACAGAAGTCCCCAGCATCTTTGGGTAGCAGGATGTGGGTCACGTTGTGTTGGATTACAACTATTCAGTACCTAAGAACTCTCTGCTGAGTTGGTGCCCAGTGTAATATTCACCCTGCCTCTCAGCTCTTAGGAAGGAATACATACTGATGACAAGCAGCCAAACGGACAAATGTAAAAGTATTTTAAGAACTGCAGAAATTCCTTGTTTCTCATGGACTTAGAAAACTGTGTTGTCTGTAGTTGCTGGCAAGGTGGTTTAGCTTTATGCCATTTGTTTTTTATTACCTTGCATGTGTTTAGCAATGAAACAAGAGACCACTTTTGAGAGCAAGTCTCATGTTTTTAAAGTGTATGTGAAAGTTTGTTCTTTCTGAAACTTGTGCTTAAGAGCAATTTATAAGAGAGGAACGAATGCTGATATTTGATATATATAAAAAAAGCCAGTCTCCATACTCTAAAGTTGTCTAAGGGTATTCAGCTGTAGGTGAAGAGCTGTCCCTGCTGTCAGCCCCCTAGACAGAAAATGAGCCTGACACAAGGGAAAATTTGCAGGCATCTCAAAGCTTAGTTTATTTCATGTCTCCATCTTGAAGCATTTCCTTTCGAAAAGGTTTGAAATAATTCTTCTGTCTGCTATTTCTACCAGTATCCTTATGTCCTCTTTCAACCCTCAGGAGCTCGGGCACACCTCAGACAAACTCAACAGCTTCTAAGAGCACAGCTCCACATGGGTTTTCAGCAGCGGAGCTGGCTTAGGGGCTTCCCACACAGCACCACAGTTAATCTCAGCTTGATGCCACAGTTCTTAGGGCTGTGCTGTAAACTGATTACCATCTAAATTTAAAAGCAGAAAGAAGGGGGACTGCTTCCCCCACCATTGCCTTTTAGAAAGTCACTGGCAGAGCTGTAGGGGGTTGCTGAGACGGGGTTTTGAGCAGGTGGGACAGGGAGTGCATGCAGGACCGTTCCTTTTTGCCTTCAGTCTCTGCTATTTTTATATAAACCAAGTTACTCGTCAGAAATCTTAATGCTTGGGAAACAGCAGTGACTTAGGCAATCTAATTATGGCAGTATTAAGTTCTGCAATATTTTTATATGAGGAGAGCCTGAATGGAGGCCACACCACTGACTTTTATAGGCTTAATTACTTATTCAGGTTTCATTACATTGCCACTTTCCTATTTATTCTGAGATGGTGATTTTCATACCTTTAATTACAAGGGCATATCTGCGCATGCTCTGAAATCGTTCAGTCTATATTACATACTGTGTTATATTTGCAAGCATTAAACTGTTTAGCTTTTTTGACTGGCTTTTGATTTGGGGAACTTCAGAAGGACTGCAGTTCCTGTAGGTCAGAGTGCATGTTAATTGAGTCTGTAGGAGCTGTACAATCTTCTCTGATACTCTGAGCTGTAGGGCCTGTAGTAATAGGACAAGGGATGATGGTTTTAAACTGGAAGAGGGGAGATTCAGAATAGATAACAGGATTTTTTTTTGTGATGAGGGTAGTGAAACAGTGGAAAAAGTTGCCCTTTAGGTGTTAATATTGGGACACCTTTGTATTGCTTAGTGTGGCATTGGACACAATATCTTACTATTATTTGTCTTTTTTACCCATCTGTTATGAAATAATATATTTCCCATATGTTATTCTTTTTTGTGTTCAAGGATCAGTTACTCTGTTCTGATAGGTTTGTAGTGATGGAAGTATATAAATGTCTTTTTATGTGTTTGACACTGCTGGTATTTACTTTCAGTGGTTGTTGGCAGGTTCTGTTTTAGTGCTTTATTGTTCTTTTCAGCGGATGGTTTTCACTGGGGCGTACCAACAGGCAGGTAATGAAGTTATGAAAACTTTGGTGTATCGGATGTGATTGTTGCATTAGTGTAATAACATTAGTTGCAGGAAAGTGGTGCTTTGCTTGAGTAAAGTGTCAGGTTGAAGATTCTTTAATTTATTCTTCTTAAAATGGTGTTATTTTATGTGATAGTTCGTGTAAAAATTAAGTTCTGTCTGTAGGTTGCCATTTGATGTGTAGGTTCAGTGGCATCAAACTAAGCATGGCAGCATAGAATCATAGAATAGTTTGGGTTGCAAAGGACCCTAAGATCATCCAGTTCCAGCCCCCTTTGTCATCGGCAGGGACACCTCACACTAGACTATGTCACCCTAGGCTCTGTCCAACCTGGCCTTGAACACTGCCAGGAACGGAGCATTTACCACCTCTTTGGGCACCCTGTGCCAGTGCCTCACCACCCTAACAGGAAAGAACTTCTTCCTTATATCCAATCTAAACTTCCCCTGTTTCAGTTTTAACCCGTTACCCCTTGTCCTATCACTATAGTCCCTAATGAAGAGTCCCTCCCCAGCATCTTTATAGGCCCCCTTCAGATACTGGAAGGCTGCTCTGAGGTCTCCACGCAGCCTTCTCTTCTCCAGGCTGAACAGCCCCAACTTTCTCAGCCTGTCTTCATACAGGAGGTGCTCCAGTCCCCTGATCATCCTCGTGGCCTCCTCTGGACTTGTTCCAACAGTTTCATGTCCTTTTTATGTTGAGGACACCAGAACTGCACACAATACTCCAGGTGAGGTCTCACGAGAGCAGAGTAGAGGGGCAGGATCACCTCCTTTGACCTGCTGGTCACACTCTGCACACTCTGTGGGTGCAGCCCTGCGTGCAGCAGGGGTTCTGGGCTGCAAGAGCACACTGAAGCTGGCTCATGTTCATTTTCTCATTGACCAGCACCCCCAAGTCCTTCTCCTTGGGCTGCTCTGAATCTTTTCTCTGCCCAGACTGTAACATTGAAGCCACAAAGATACTAGCAATATGAAGCACGTAGTGCCATCACTTCACTTGGACAAACAATAATGTTTGAACATTAGTTTCCTGTATTATAGTCACTGTACTTCAAATGCATCTCATACTGCCTGTTACTAGGATGACTGAGCATGGGAATGGCTTCCCCAGAGAGATTGTGGAGTAACTCAAAAGCTAGCTGGTTGTGTTCCTGGGCAACCAGCTTTAGGTGCCCCGGGTTGAACAGGGGGATTGGAAAAGGTGATAGACCTCCAGAGGTCCCTTCTCACCTCAGCCACTCTGTGATATCTGTGTAAACCACCTCATCATAGAATCAGAATGGTTTGGGTTGAAGGGACCTTAAAGCTCACCCACCACCCTCACAGGGAAGAACTTCTGCCTGAGATCTAACCTGAGTTTCCCCTGTTCAAGTTCAAACCTATTACCCCTTGTCCTATTGCTAATGGATCAGTAAAATTAGGTGCTTCATAGAAATATTTTACTACTGTTTTGTAATGAATTTTCACTTCAAGTGCAGGAGCCCTATTGTTTGTGTAACCATGTTTATTTTCTTTTTCCTTTCTCCTAGTGCTGACTTAAAGCTCTTAGAAGAAGCCACAGTCTCAGTCTGCAAGTCTTTAGGTGAGAATTTGTGACATGTTTTTTTCCATGTGCTTAATTATGTGCACATCTATGTCTTTAATATACCTAACTTTCCTTCCATGTGTAGTAGTGTAAAGAATGTATTTTGTGTATATATATATATACCTGACTTTTAGGAGCTTCCAATGTCAATTGTTTTGTGGAGCTTGAAATAACCAAAAGACATAAAACAATTCCATCCCTACTATGTTTGTGTACTCTGCCCTCTAAGTTGGCTAGTAAAGGGAGAGAATTAGTTGTAGGTTGAAAGGAAGGGATAGTTTAAATGTGATCAGTGATGTTTCAAGAAGGTAAAACTGGTTATGGAAACCTGCCCACGTCTCTGACAGGAGACTGTTGTGCTATAGATAAGTCTTGAAGTGAAAGCAGTAGGAGCTCTACATTTGGGCTATTTTAAATCTAGCCTGAAAAGTACGTTTAGAGAACTGTTATGGAGTAGTAAAGCATGTACTGGAGAATCTTAAAAGAACATCAACAGCTGTGCAAAAAAACTAGATATGCTGTGCTTTAAGACTTTGAGATTTGGTTTTATTCTATGTCTTTTTTTGGCCTAAGTAGTGTCGACTTAGAAGTGCCATATAATCGTATCTTATTTTTCTTCATTTAGTCGAGAAGAATCCTCGAACAGGAAACCTTGGGTCCTTGATTAAAGTCTTTCTTTCTAGAACCAAAGAGTTAAAAATTTCAGCAGAATGTCAGAAGTAAGTGCCCAAGGAGAAAAGCTTTGTGTGCTATTTCACTTCTTAAATGTTGCTTTTGCTGCTAGCTGTTGAGTTTTTTACTTTGCTAATAAACATGCTCACAGACCAAAATACAGAATTCTCTTAAGTTGTTATTTGAAAAAAAAACCAAAACAAGTACCTAGTGCTTTTCCAAACACACATTAAGTGTAATAGGTAAATAGATCACTGGGGGGAAAAAGACATGTTTATGTTCATCCTGCGTTACACAAATACATTTGGGTACAGGTGGTGTAACTTCTGGTTACTACTGGTTTAGAGCTGTTTAAACACCTGTTGTTTTTAGCTAAATCTTAATATGTGAACCAGTGTTGATAAAAATATGGAAATATTTTAAATTGGGTTGGATTTGAACGCGAACTTCTACACAAAGACATTGCTTTCAAATTACATTGTGCAACTGCCATTGGTTTTGCTTGCCGCTTCCAGCAGTAGTAAAGAACTCCAGGAGTTGTGTGTAGCACTGTATAGTTTTTGCATAAAGCTTTCTGTAATTGTTCCCCCATACCCATAGACAAATGTCCAAGTCTCATCAGATCTGGGACTTCAAAAAGGAAGATTTTCTTTTAATGCCCCTTTGTACCAGGACTGTCCTCAGCCTGGATATCTCCTGCTGTTTTAATCCAAAAAATACCCTGAAAGTACAGCTTCAAGTAAGAGCTTGACTATGTGCTGTTGTATGGGCTTCCCAGCAGATGTTTACTGGGACTCAAGAAAACATAAGGAAGCTATATTGCCCTTGCATTCCGAAAGCTTGTAAAATATTTGTTTATGTTGCATAAAAAAATCTTGCTGTACTGTGCTCCTCAAGTCCATAAATGCCTGTGATCACCTCATGGCTGTTTTAACTGGGAAGAGTGCTCAGGGAGACAGAATAGCTTCTCTATCTGAAACTGATGGAAACTTTCAAATACCTTGATGGCTTGAGTCCATAGAATGTAGAAGCCTGTAGAAGAATGCCGAGCTACCTGGTGAGCTCTTCAAAGAGTGGTGCTTCTGGCAACTGTGGTGTTCTTTAACAAGACAAATTTAGCAATAAAGTTGTATTCTCTTGGGGGAAGGAAAAAAGTACTGCTTTGAAAACCATTTCCAGTTTACCGTATCATCAACTGAAGACTCCATGCTTGAGCACTTTGGCTTTTCCTTGCTTTAGCTGTAGGAACCCCTTTGTCTCTGGCATATATTAACTTGTGGCTTTTGATGCAGGTTAGCGGGTTAAGCATTATTGATTCTTCTTTGTTTCTGCTCTTTCCTAGTCACCTCTTTATTTGGCAGGCTCACAATGCACTGTTTATTATTTGCTGTTTGCTGAAAGTATTCATCAGTCGAATGTCAGAGGAGGAGCTGCAACTTCATTTTACTTATGAAGACAAAGCACCAGGCTCATACGGTAGGTATACAATAGTGCTAGTGAAGCATATATCCCACAGGAGACTAAGAAGTTCTTTGTCAGTGTTGGTCGACATGGCATTCAGGAACATGATTTAGTGATGGCCTTGTTAGTGTTATGTTAATGGTTGGACTTGGTGATCTTAAGTGCCTTTTCCAACCTAGGTAATTCTGTGATTCTATGTTTTCTTTAGGCTAAGAATCCCAAATGTTGCACTAAAACTGGAAGTACTCATGAGGTTCTTCAAAACATGTTTACAATTTAGGGCAACCTGTGAGGTTGAAAGTAGGTAGTAATAAAACAGACTTACTTCCTTTGGGGTCTGAGTTTGGTGTAAACCATCTTCCTTTGTATCATACATACGAAGGAGAGCACCTTCAGAATGTGATGAGAGCTTTTAGCTACATGTTAGCTGTTGTCATCTGCTAGAATTAAATCTGTGTTAACAAGCTGTTACAGGTTCTTACAGCAAAATAGACTTCTAGAGTAGGGTTAGAGTTGTTTGGTTTATTTTTTCTTTAAAGATTTGTATCAAGTTTAACATGGCCATTTATTTACAAACTTATTTTGACATTTATTTAAAACATTGACATTATTTTAAACATTTGACATTATTTTAAACAGTTGTTTGGGGGGGTTGGAACTTGATAATCTTAAGGTCCTTTCCAACCCTAACTATTCTATGATTCTAAGTGATGCTGTAGACCTACCTTAGCTTTAGTCATTTTCATACAGTTTAAAAGGTGCTAACAGTCCTCTTCAGAAAAACAGAATAAAATTGGGATAAAGCTGACCATGTATTACTACAGGAACAATGATGTTGCAATTATTTAGTGCTTCTTTTCACGTATGTTTCATAAACTAGCAGCAGCCAGGGAGTGGAATTGATGCAATTTTCAGGAATCTAGTGAGGGAAAATAACAGTGCTGTGGTTAGAACTGATTCATTGAAAAGCCAACTGCTGAAATTTAATTAGTGGGCAGTAGTTTATGCAAGAGTACAGGAAATCCCAAAGAATTTAGGCAGAATATTCAAAACCAAGGGCATCTCCAGGAAATGGATCACATATTAGAGAATAGTTAGGGCTGGAAAGGACCTTAAGATCATCCAGTTCCGACCCCCCTGTCATGGGCATGGTCATCTCACACTAGACTGTGACACCCAAGGCTCTGTCCAGCCTGGCCTTGAACACCACCAGGCATGGAGCATTTACCACCTCTTTGGGCACCCTGTTCCAGTGCCTCACCACCCTCACAGTAAAGAACTTCTTCCTTATATCCAACCTGAACCTCTCTTGTTTAAGTCTAAACCCATCACGCCTTGTTGTATCACTGCAGTTCCTAATGAAGAGTCCCTCTCCAGCATCCTTGTAGGCTCCCTTCAGATGGCTTCTCTGAGGTCTCCACGCAGCCTTCTCTTCTCCAGGCTGAACATCCCCATCTTCCTCAGCCTATCTTCATACAGGAGGTGCTTCATTCCCTGATAAACCTCGTGGCCTCTTCTGGACTTGCTCCAGCAGCTTCTTGTCTTTCTTACGTATTACACCAGGTGAAAGGTGGCAGGGAAGGTGTTCAAGTAATCTAGCTATTCTGTTTCTGCTATCACATTATTCTTTCTGAACGAATGGTGAGGCACTGTAATAGGTTGTCCAGGGAGGTTGTGAATGCTTCATCCCTGGCAGTGTTCAAGGCCAGGTTGGACAGAGCCTTGGGTAATACGGTTTAGAGCGAGGTGTCCCTGCCCATGGCAGGGGAGTTGGAACTTGATGATCTTGAGGTCCTTTCCAACCCTAACTATTCTATGATTCTGTGAATAATGTGAATGCATTCAAAATCAGTTTGATTACAGCAAAAAGAAAGTTGTAACTGTCTGCTGCAAATCTTTGTGTAGACCTGTATCAAGACACTCTACAGAACACATGATAGATAATGCTGGCATAGCATTGATTGCTTTTGCTTTGTTATAAAGACACTGTTGAGTTTGTAATTGCATGTTGTTTGTTGCATAAAGCCAAAAATGGTCTTGCAATAAGAACTGGTATGAGAATGGTAATATGGTGTGAGTGGATTATGGAAGAACAACTAAAAGTATCCGACTCTGGATTTCACTCAGCTGTCAGTCAAGCAAGGGTATGTGTTGGGAACACCTTATAGATGCTTGCTCATTGAATAGGGAAAACTGTTCATTAAAATCTGTTCTCTTCCTTGGCACCTGCCTTTGCTCTGGGGAAAGCAGACTTCCGGTGCCAAAAGATTAACTGCTATGCACTGAAATGGTTTAATGTATTTAAATGGTGCTGAGTGATCTCCAAGAATGAAGTCACCTACCTGATGTATTAGAAGGCAACACCTGCTTATAGAATCATGCAATAAATTGTGTTGGAAGGGACCTTAAGGCTTATCCAGCTCCAACCCCCTGCCACAGGCAGGGACACCTTCCACTGGAGCAGCTTGCTCCAAGCCCCTGTGTCCAACCTGGCCTTGAACACTGCCAGGGATGGGGCAGCCACAGCTTCTCTGGGCACCCTGTGCCAGCGCCTCAGCACCCTCACAGGGAAGAGCTTCTGCCTAAGAGCTCATCTCAGTCTCCCCTCGGGCAGGTTCAAGGCATTCCCCTTGGCCTGTCCCTACAGGCCCTTGTCCCAAGCCCCTCTCCAGGTTTCTTGTAGCACCTTTATGCACTGGGAGCTGCTGTAAGTTTGTGGCAGACTGCCTGTGAGTGCATACTTGCATTAAAAAGCATTGCCCACCTCTTGCTTCAGTGGTATTGTGCAGCACAGTACAACAGGTGGAAAAGCTGATATGTTTTGTTAGCTTGCCCCTGCAATCTTTATTCCTTATGCTGGGGGTCCCTTGCAGCATGCTATGAAAGTGATTCTTGTCACTAGGGTAGATCCATGTTTATACCATGTCTAGTAGCACTTGACTGTAATTCACAGTGACATTTATTAGTGATAATTTTGTGCATATTGATGGCAAATGTACTTAGCAATTAACTTGGCGCAGATTGCTTGCTGGATGTTCTTGATTAGGAAGGTAATTGTGGTCTGCTGGTGAGAGCAGGGGATGAAGGCAGGAAGCAAGGAGCTTCTCTTTGGCTCATGTGGCTCCAGTCTGCTGCTGCTTTTCACTCTGGTTTCCAGTTGGAGATGGTTCTTACGACCTTCCTCAAGATGTTGAGGTTCATAATGTGTTATATTTTCAATAGTTACTGGTTTTGGTCCCTAGCAGATCTTCACATAGGTTTTCTGAAGTTTTTATAGAGCGTGGTAATAAGGTGAATGCCCTCCTATAGCTTTTGGCTTACGTATAGGAAAAGTGATACATCATTAATGGAGTATAATAAACTACTGTTGTGCTAGGGCCTATTGAAGTGTGCAGAAAAATAATGAAATGTGGTTTTGTTAGTATTTTTATAATTAAATCAAGTGTATCTTTATTTTAACTTTGGCGGTTAAAGCGTGACTTGTTATTGTGAAGTTTACACAGATTTATTAGTACTTTTACTTAAGTTTAACGTACTTAACGCTGTCTTTGGTGAACATGTGTTTTTTAAAAAAATGAAGCTTTTCTGTGATGTCCTTGCTGTCTTTACATTTACCAGAGCTTGATGATATTTTACTGTTCTTCAGTTGTGAGCATGATAAAACAAACCTTATAAAATACATAATTCTGTGAACTATATAATGTAAATAAAACATCCGTATAGGCAAAATCTTTCACAGAGTGCCTGAACTTTGAAGTACTGTTTGCTTATTTTCTTACTCGCTGGTGAGTAGTTATTGGAAAGAACAGTGCAACTAACCAACAACACAACCAACCTCTCCTATTATCCATTTTGTAATGCCTTGTTCAATCTCACAGCCTTCTAAAGAGATGTAACCATTCTTGTCAGGATCATCTTAAAATCTGGGAATCACTGTGGTTGTGTGTTTGAACAATGAGCATCCATTTTTTTCCTTCTTGGTGAAGCTTATGTCCAAGTACCATGTTCTCTGGGTTTAAATGCAGCACACTGAAGAGTACATAACTGCAGTGTCAGCACATCAGGCTGATCACACTGCAGTTGATCAGGGTGTCAGCATCTGCTGTGTGATATTTGGTATGACAGGCACAAGTGTGTACTGTATGACAGTAATGATGCATGGAAAACGGCCTGGCATTGGCTACTCAGGAATATACCTTGTATTTTGGAGGATTATATATGACATAGCCACAATTGTTTAGTTAGCATTTTTTAATAAGTCTCTTTATCTTGAAGATTTCTCCTCCCGGATTTGCAATTTATGTACTTTTCCTTTTTCTGAATGTCCAATTTGTGCTTTTCCCAACTAGACTGTGTTTTAAGCTCAGAAGAAAGCTGAACAATTGTGCTTTGTGTCATGAAATGTGATTATTAAGGTTTTTCAAGTTTGAGCCCATAGGTATGTTGTAGCCTATCATTATAAAGTTGTAGTGAAGAAATTGTACGTGATTAGTCCCTGCTAACAGCGTTGTTTATTGAATTCCTTCAAGAATCATCTGACCATTAGTAGAAGCTTGTTCCTTTTGAACAGTTTTCAGAATGTTCTTTAGTACAGGAAGAGCAGCTTTTGCCTTTTCATCCACAGTTGGGCATTTTCATATAGCTTTGGAGGATTTTTGTTTTGAGGATATATTTGGTCTGGTTCAGCCTGGAGAAGAGAAGGCTCCTTAAGGGGAGACCTGGGAGCAGCTCCAGTGCCTAAAGGGGCTGCAGGAAACCTGGAGAGGGGCTTGGGGCAAGGGACTGTAGGGACAGGCCAAGGGGAATGGCTTGAACCTGCCCGAGGGGAGACTGAGCTGAGCTCTTAGGCAGAAGCTCTTCCCTGTGAGGGTGCTGAGGCGCTGGCACAGGGTGCCCAGAGAAGCTGTGGCTGCCCCATCCCTGGCAGTGTTCAAGGCCAGGTTGGACACAGGGGCTTGGAGCAAGCTGCTCCAGTGGAAGGGGACCCTGCCCGTGGCAGGGGTTGGAGCTGGTGTAGCTTTAAGGTCCCTTCCAACCCAGACCAGTCTGTGGTTCTGTGATGTGATATTGAAGATTACTGATGGTAGGAAAATCCTCCTAGAGATTTCAGCCGTGTTCTTTTAACAGTCAGATAAAAAATCTGGGTATTAATAAACCTTAAACTGGACTCAGCACATGCGGATCTAAGGCTGGAGTTAGTCTGGCTGGCACAAATCATTCATCTTTCAGTGAGGCTTCCTCTGTCTGTGTCCCATAATTTTGGCACAGTCTTTTACTATTGTGATTCAGAGGTGTAAGAGCACACGCTGTTTATTATATTCTAAATCAAACCATCAATGCATTTAACCTATTTTTGACCTGCAGTAAGAGACTTTATTTGTACTCTGTAGAGAAACTTTTATCGCTCGGCTGCTAAGGGCAGTGTTTGTTCTATTACAGCAAATCTGAGGACACAGAGGAGGGAATAAATAACGATACATTTACTTCAATCCTCAAACGGTTTCATGAGTGCTCAGCTGTCATATAAAAGAAATGAAGGATTGCAATTAGTTTATGTACTCATTATTAACACTTTTAAGTGAAAGTTGGGAGCTTTGTAGAGCCCGCAGAGCTGGAGTTAAAACCACAAAACCCAAAGAAGCTTTAAGTCCAACCAGTTGTGTAACATGTTGAATGGATGAGGTTTAGTTACTGTTTTGCAAATAACAAATTATCTCCTTATTGGTGCCTGGATTCTATCCTATCTGTAGGAGCAATACGGAAGAAGAACCTTGCTCTGCCTGAGTATCTTATTAATAAGCACATTCAGCTGCTACAGCAGCCTAGATCAGGTTTTGACAACACAGCAGTTAAGTTCTTGAGAGGAAAGATTGTTTTATTGTGAATGTCAAACCCTGCTTCATGGCCAAGGATGGAGCTGGGCTGGTTTCAGTAGAAGTGGAGTCTCTTGGCATGTGTACTGTCCTCTGGATAAGCTGTTTTGCTTGTGTAATGCTAATCCAGTGTCTGTAATGTGTATTAGCTTTGAAAAATAAAAAAACCCTCCCTAAATTATGTAAAAAAACCCCAAACAAACACCAACCCTCCCCCTCTCCCCCCCCCCCCCCCCCCAAGAAATCTAACCCAAACAAACCCCGTCAAAAAAAACCCAACAACCCACAGTGCAAGTAATGCACATGTTTGAGGACTTAAATATGTTGGTAGAAGATGGTACTTCAGCATAACTGGGCATGTGAAAGCTGTGTGTGTTTGCAGTTACTTCTGCACTGCAGCAGACTTTAGAAGATGCACCTATGATTCCTCTGTGCAGGTCTGCTCTTATCTGGACAGATTCACCCTCTGCTTATTTTCTCCAAGGCTTTACACGTGTCTTTGATCCAAGTATGTGATCTATTAATGTGAATGAGTATTGTGTGTATTGTCTCTATCCTGCTATTGAAAAGGGCATTGTTTATGAAAACACATAGTGTTCTGGGTTTATAGCTCTCTCTCACGTTATAGATTTGGCATGAGTCCGCCTCATTGTCTTGGCAAGACAAGGATTAAACAAGAATGCATGTGCCCCAATGGGGAAAAGGATACATTTGTTATTGTAGCTCAGTGACATTGATTACAGCAATTAAGCCTTTTTTTTATTTTTAAAGAAAAAACAGTTTGAGAGCAGGGCAGGGAAGACTAACATCTTCCATTCTGTGTGATCATACTAACTCAATATTTTTGTGTTTATTTTGCTTATACTTTGGGAAAAAAAAAGCCCTCTTTCATACTGAGTTAACAGTAATCTGTCTTCAGATGGGTTGTGTATAGCATGGTGGGAGAAATTATATTCTTAAAATGCACTCACTGTTTTTCATCCTTTTTCCTCCCCCTTTTCCTGAGTTGTTAAGAAAATGAAGCACTTTTTGGGATGTAGTCTTGCTCTATAAGTGTTTTCTAGATTCAGAAAACCTTAGAAAACTGTCATGTTCGAGTTACTTAGAGAATACATTATCTGGGCTTCATTGTTGGCTGTGGTTCTGTCTAAGGTTAAATACTCCTAGCAGTTCCCTTTTTTTTTTTTTACTAACAGGAGCTACATTGTGTTACTCATGGGGGATTCTATATAAAGGAAACTACGTTTCCGTGATAAAAACCTGATTTCCTTTAGAATGTGCAGTTCACTAGGTGACAATTTTTAATGTGTTTTTAATAAACTGATTGTGGAAAGAAATAATTTTGCTTTATTGTGAATATTCCCTCTAGTGTGCTTCTTAAAATTGAGTCCTGGCTTTAAGAACAAACTTGGGTTAAACAGAGTAACACTGCCATAACCGGGCTGTAATGTTGTGTTTATTGCAGGACGTATTTATTTGAAAATACAAAATAAACAAGCTTTTGGGTAATCTGAGTTGTAATGCAGAGGGGAAAAACTATGCATGCTTTTAGGCCATTCAGCACTATAAAACCCTACACTTCTTTGTGCTGTAGGTTTCTCTTTATAATTTTATTTCTAAAGCAGAAAAAGAGATATTTTTTTTTTTTTCAGTATTACGTGACAGTTTCAAATGGTTTAATAAGCTTTTTCCTCAGTAAGTCTTTCAAGTTTTCAGTACAGTTACTTCTAAAATTGCAGTGCCAGTGTAAAATACCACCAGTTTTATTGCTTACAATAGCTGAATTTTTAAAATAATTATGCATTTTTTAAATAGTCTCATGCATTTTGTCACATTGTGTGTGAGTAGAGAATAATTTCTGCTCACTTGAAATGCAGTTTTAAAAATTCCCAAATCTTTATTGTAAAAATGTGTGAAACCTGTTCAATAAATAAATAAATATGTATTCATGGAAAGGTAGTGTGTACATTTGATTGTGTAAGAGCAACAGTGATGTGTACAGCAGGCTGCATTCATTTGAAGGATCACAGTTTAGAATATTGCTTAGTGTATGTTAGGCAAATGGAGCAGTTTTGTGTCTGTCTCTGCTTATTCTTCACTTGGGATTAGAAAAAAAGTGGGAAGATAGGTGAAGTGCAGGGAATTTTGGGATGAGACTTGGAACTGTAGAACTGAGAAAAAGTCAGAAGTGATCAGTTCAACTGTTAGTGTAATGCCATTCAATATGACCTTAGAGAAGTAGGAAAGTAAGGCTCAATGTGCTTAATATTAGCGTATTTTTACAGTACCAACATCTCATTTTCTAATTGTTATTAGTTATCTTTTTATGTATAAAAGGGTAAGCATCACTGTTATCCCAGGGATAATCCCAAGTGCTTTCTGTTTCAGGAAAGAATGGCATCTACTAGAACAGACAAAATTTATCATCTGGTGTCCATTCCTTAATTGTCTGGATCTAGATGTATAAATCTTTGCTTTCTTTCAGTATTTGAAAATCCAGAAAACCTTTATATGCTTCTTTTCAGGAACAGAGTGTGAAGACCTCATAGAAGAATTGCTGTGTTGCCTTGTCCAGCTCATTGTTGAAATTCCCCTCTTGTAAGTTGGCTTTTTCCTTTATCTTTTTCTTGCCTCCTTGTATAAACTGAGCATTTGAGAGAGTATAAAACTTAGAGTGATGAGGCTGTAATGTTTAAATACTTGTGTTTGAATGCTCCATGTTCAGTACTGATAATGATAGATAACCTGCTGCCAGTACTAGCCCTGAATCTTCTGTTGGAAGAAGTACTTGAGCATTTCACACATGCTTCAATTCAAGAGAAGTTATCCCGTTTTAATTTGTAGTAGCTTTGACATTTGTTTGAGGAACTTCTGTGGGCACCCAGACAGTTGCTGGTGATTTATGGCTGGAAATGGTTGCACTGGTTGTACAGGGAGGGGTGCATTGGGGTGTTGCTTCATCTCTTGGGGGTGCAGCAAGGTGCAGACTGAAGTTTGTCTTACACAGTTGCATGGCTTTTTGAACTGCATGTGCATTAAATAAGTGTTATGACTCATTTAATATTAATTTCTGAAATATCAGTGGATTGCACCTGTCCTGATATGTTTTAACCTCTTTTTTTTCCTGCAAATAAACTTTATCAAAGATAGGAGTATTAGATAGTACTGTGCCTAAAATGTGGTGCTCCAATTAAAGGATCACAGCTTTAATTAATAAGAGTTTCAGATTATCCCTTATAGCGTAAAGCTCTGCTGATGATTTAGTTTTTGTACTTCAGATTGTTCTTTAGTTGGAAAGCTGACAAAATGCAATGGGTTCTGAAACACTGCTATCATTAAATACAACTCTGTCACCATTACATGAGGGTTTTGTGTTGGTAGTATGTAATGAATTAGTGATATGATTTAGAGCGTCATTCTGCAAAGCTTGTCAGGACTTCCTGGAACAGATACACTTTTTGTTTGGAGCAGATTAAAGGAAGTATGAAGGGTGAAAGGACTGCGATATATGGGCAAGTTCATAAATCCTGCAGGGTTTTATTTTTCTTTCTTCTAAGTCCCAATGTGTGCGTGGGGTCCAATATTACTTACTTTGTCTTTTTGGCAGAAAAAAAATTGCAGGCATTACTGTTCTTAACCCTTTTGAACAACTCAACCTGTCAGCATCTCTGTTTCTTTGTGAATGCTGTTGCTGGGAATGAAAGTAGCTGTTGAAAGCACTTAGTTTACTGAATAATATAGTGATAATAATGGTTTATTTAAAAAAGAAGTGACAAAGCCTGTCTATAATCTTAAATGTTCAGCTTAAAACGTATTCACTTTTCATACGTGAAAGTTGTGGAAAGTTTGCGTTTTGGGTTTCTTTTTTTTTATAAAATAGGTTTCCTTAGCTAGTTTTTCTCTTGAAATAGAATGCTACTGAACTATTAGTAGGATGCTAAAACTTACAAAAGTAATTTATTGTCTTGTTCCCCAGTATAACATTCGTCACAATGCGATAATGCCTTAACTAACGATTTTATCCCTACATCGTCATAGGGGGAGTAGGGTAGGGGAAAGGAGATATGAAAACTCTTGCTTTCTCTAATACACAATCCAACTCTTCATAAAGATGTTATAGAGCTGAGATTTTTGCTTACTGTAATTTTATTTGCTGGAGGATGATCAGGATTATTTTAGTGGTGAGTTTACCTTTTGCTTCCCTCCCTTTCCTTGGTTGGATTTACGCTGTAAATTCTTTCCCTACTTTGTATCAAAGGAATAGTTTATTTCTGTATTTTGGGTGGAATAAATCAAGAAAAACATAAGCCTACTATGTGAATATTGGGAGGGAATATGTTATGTGTAATACATGAAGTATTCAAACCTTGGGATCATTTGCTAGAGGATAAGACAGCATTAGCAGCATACAGTGGCACTGCTAACAGGGTCTCTGTAAAGCTGCTATTAAAGATGAATTTTTGTTGTGACAGACCATTAAAATACCCATGCTGAGCCTGTGTTTGAAGTGTCATTCAGAATAGCAGAGTTTTTGTTAGGACTGCTCAATAGCCTGAACTGTGGATTGTCACAATTTGTGTGTCCCTTGGGTTCTGTGGATGCAGTTTCATGAAGGAGTGGATACAGCTGGCAGCTGCTGTCTAAATATATTGCTTCTCTACATCCTCGTTTAAGCTGGTGTTTTTCCTCCTTCACTGAAATACTGAGATTATTTTTAAACCATCAAAGACCATCTCGGTGTCTGAAATGCAGGAGCAGAGGTACCTGTGCAACAGTCCTGCACTCTTTGCTTTTAGAATGGTTCTAAATGTCACATGGGAATGGCTTTAAACTGCCAGAGGGGAGACTGAGCTGAGCTCATAGGCAGAAGCTCTTCCCTGTGAGGGTGCTGAGGCACTGGCACAGGGTGCCCAGAGAAGCTGTGGCTGCCCCATCCCTGGCAGTGCTCAAGGCCAGGTTGGACACAGGGGCTTGGAGCAAGCTGCTCTAGTGGAAGGGGTCCCTGCCCGTGGCAGGGGTTGGAACTGGATGAGCTTTAAGGTCCCTTCCAACACAAACCATTCTATGGTTTGATATGACCAAAACCAAGTGTAAGAGTTTGGGCTTGGCAGGGACGCTGAATTCATGAACGCTTGAGTCTTTGTGGAGTGTGGGCAAAGCTTGCTCACCTTTGAGCTTGCTCTGCAAGAAGCTTTATTAGAACAAGGTCATGTGTGCCTAGAAAATAACCTACAGAGAGATCTGGAAAATGCAGGTGGGCAGTCTAGCTCAGAATGAATAAGGAAGTTGTGAGATGGGGAAGATGTCAAATGGCAAATCTGTATCTCACTACTCCATATCCCTTACTATGGAACATAACTGAAGAACCAGAATGTGTTGATTGTCATTGGGAAAGGCTGCAGAAGTATACAGCAAAGCATATCTAGGAATGCCTCAGAATTGTGTATGGTGAATTTAAGAAACTACTTCTCAAAGTTCGTTTGTATTGAGAAAGGTAAATGCTTTAAGGCAATTCAACTTGGAATAGATAAAACAGGTTGTAGGAGGGATCAAGGGTCTCTGCAACACTGTGGCTCTGTACCTGAGGTTTATTAAAAGTATCTTGAATTATCCCTTTGAAAAACAGGCCCTGCTGCATTGTACAGAATGCCAAGGAAGAAGGTTTCATGTTTAAGACATTTTATAGAAACTACAGTATTATTGCTTTTCAAGAATTAGACTTTTGCAGTCCCTTATAACATTTGTGTTATGGTATGTTGGTGTTTGATTTATGGCTCCCTTGGGTATGTTATGGATACTCAGCTTTTTCTTTGGTTTTGTTAATGTTAGCACTCAAGAGTGTACATTAATGATTAAAAGTGCATAATCAGCAAAAATATGCCACTTCAGTATTTAATTGTATGACTTTAATGTAGAAACTATTGCTAACGTTATGTTGCAAGATAGAGCTCCCAAAGTTAAATTATAAAGGCTTCTTTCAGCAGCTTGTTAAGAGCTGGTATACATAACTGAACATCTGGTTGTTATCAGCAGGTTTTCACTTCATTAAAATCTATAAATGCATATGGAGGAAAAATGAAATACTGGGATTTAGTTGTGTCACTGTTGAGTAGCACCCTGTGGTGCCAGTAGAAGTTAGTTGATATTTCTAATACATTCCATTGTTTCCTATAGTTACAATTGGCTTAGGTTGTAATCTCAGTTATTTCCAACTCTAAACATTAACAATGTTTTGTTATTTCAGGATGTTTCACTGCATTTCCTGGGAGCTTAGAAGCTGAACATAGGAGGGAAAAGGGCAATATAACTGAGTATAAAGCTCTACAGAGTCACTGCAGTCTAGAGTGCCACTTTGAGAAAAGTTTAGGCTTTTTTTTCCTGGAAATTGTAATCAGCGAAGAGGTTAAGAACTGTTTTCTCTCCCATTTCATGGCTGTCATATTTTTATTATTTGTTACTTTTGGAAAAAAAGGCCAGAATAGCGCTTCTTGAAAAAAGGACTGTTCGAGGAATTTTAATCAAGATTGTAGTAGCTCCAATATTTGAAGAGCTATTGACTTCAGCATTTTTGGCAATTTTCTCTAATCATCAAAGGGAAACTTCCATCTGTTGAAACTTAGGTTGAAGCGAGCGAAAATACCCAAACTGCAAGAGATTTGTGTTGCTTCACTTTGAAGATCCTCAAAGTTTAGGACTCCTCTGTGTAGGAGGGGTCTGGTGAATATAAGGAGAGTTTTATTTACTGCTGAACCTTGTGGTGGTGCATCAAATAAAAAAGATTGATTTATTTGGAAGATTTTCTTCATCACTCTCACATCTCTTTTTCAGCTGGCAGATGTGTGGCCTCTTAAGTGAGTAAAGGTCTTAAGCAGGAGACCCTTTATCATGTATTTTTCTTCCAGTTCTAATTATATTCTACTTTAGTTTTATTTCAAACTTAGATCATCATTTCTTCATGATCTGTCTTTTCACCAGGCAAGGTTTAACTGACATACAGCTTGTAACAACCTTTGTAATTGGAGAGCTTATTATTAGTGGTGTATAGCATGTATCATACATTGTGCTGTATATTCAGGCTCCTAATCGTCTGCTTTCTGTTATTCTGGTTTTCAGCCCTGTTTTCACAAAAGACATTGGATGCATCTTGAAAAATATGCTTGCTAATATTTGAGGTTTGTCTCTGATCTGGGCAGTAAAGAGAGCTGGCCACTGAGGTCAAGTGTATCTCTTTCTGGCATCTTAAAACTTTGAAGACTCCTTCAAATCAGTGACAGTGACCACGTTGACAGTCCTAAGCCTATTTTCTGTATTGCATACACAACCATGAGACCTAAAGATACTATTGCTGTCACTACATCAAAATGGCTCTGTCTTGGAACCGCAGTGGCTTACATTTGAGAAGTGTTGTGACAGAGAGACTGGAGCAGGTCTGCCTTTCACCCAGGCTGGAACACAGGACATGATTCCTGTGCTCTGCCTCTGTCCAGACCTCTGCAGTGGTCTAGAGAAGCTTTTTGAGCACCTGGGGCATATCACAGATCAAAAAATGGTTTGTGTTGGAAGGGACCTTAAAGCTCAGCCAGCTCCAACCCCTGCCA